CTCCTTTGTGCACTTCCAGTTTGAAGTACGCTGTCCTAGAGGAAATTGAAGTTCTGAAACGCTGCATACTTATCTGGATGGTTCATTTCCCTGGTCCAGTCACCCACTGCAGCTAAAGGTTACAGGTTTGCATTCCACAGATTCCAGTACACCAAAGTGAATGCTGCACATTGACGTAATTTTGAGCACAGAAACCTTGTGTTTGCCCTCTCTTTTTCATAAATATCATCAGGCTTGGCAGTGGTGGGCTGAGTTCAAACTAGTAACTGACCTGCCTTAAAATACGGTTTTAAACAAAGTTTAAAAAGTGCTGCTGATGCGTTTGAAACGAGGACAGTTTGGCACTCCAGCCAGCAGTTTTGTCAAGTGAAGCAAGGCAAGATTTGTAGTGGGAGATAGTACCTTTTATTAGGCCAGATGGTGTTGGGGGAAACAGATGCGTGTTTAGATACACAAGTGTTTCAAGTCTGAAATAGAAATTGCAAGCTTGAAGTGAAGTACACACTAAGAGCAGTTGTTCTAATTCAATTATAAACTTAATTATACTAACCAGTTAGACAGTTTGAAGGAGCAAGGGGTGCTGGTACCTGTGTAGCACAGTGAGAAGTTGACAGAGATGAGGTAGTCCAGGTCATACATTTATCCCCATGGAAGATTTGTCTGTGTGTGGGCTGCTATGGGTTTGTGGGATGGTGCTGTAACTAGTGCCCAAAGTTAAAAATAAATTTCAAAAAAAAGATAACTAGTGATCTGATTTACACCATGGCCTCACAGTTGAATGAGTGTACCTGAGGGATTGGTGAGCACAAGGGTGGGAATTTCCTAAGTGTTTTGGGCACTAAAGCCAACGTAGCATTTATGCATCTGAAGTCTGTTGCTTTTAGTATTCAGAAAAGTTAGTGTTTTCATGGTATTTTGTAAGTTGCCACGGGTCAGGATACAGAGGTTAAAGGTGGGGTGGTAGTTTTGTGGTGCTAAAAAAATTATTCAATTCTGTCCTACAATGAGGTAGCTAAGTGAGAAGCTGAACGTGAACAGCTCTATGAGTTTACTTCACTGACTCTTCCTAAGAAAAAAACGAGATTTTTATAGGTACTATGTTTCAAAACTAGTTATTTGAGCTATAAGGTTAGGGAGGAGATGAATAAGAAGCTAACTTTTGGGTACATGGAAGTAGGCAGGTCACATAAGCAATAGTTTACAATTCTGCTACAGTTTCTTTCCCATTTAGGAGACATGGTGTACACTTCCACGTTTACTGTTTCTAAGCAGAGAAACTTGACATGTGTTTAATCATTGTCCCAAAACAATGTAAATGAATTGGTAACTGTTGCTAAAACTTGTTTTTCAGTACCCTCAGAACAGTCAGAATGAGCTCAGTTACTTTGAACTACTTAAAGGTCAGGTCTACGTTAGTGCTCCTAGGATTTAAAAAAAAAAGAACTAGTTTTCAAATGACTTGTACAGAGTCTTTGGTATGGTAGCACTTACCTTCCGACTGCTTTTGGCTAATAGTGGAGAAAATTCTCCTTGCTCTGGAAGTCCTGAAGTGCTCGCGTTTGAACTCTCACCTTGTCCGGGGATCCGCGCTTTGGCAGTGAATCCCCACATGTTTCCAGTGCAAGAACGCACACTGGAAAAACCATTCTCTCGAACGGTAGGTGTCGGCAAAGTTAAATACAGCCCGTTAAATACGGGCTGAAGTGTCCCGGTGAGAATATTTTTAAAACTTTTGAAAGTGTCTTTAAATTTCCCGGTGTGTCTCTTGAACTTTGAAATACTCTAATGTATTGTGGGCCAGGGCATAAGCATGTGCTTATGTGGGGATTGTGGGGAGGAGGAGCCATGCTGCCAGCAGCTGGGAAGGAAAAGCAAGCCACCATTTCTTCGATACTAACCCCAGTCCCTGCTTAGAGAATCGCTGATGGTTTGTGGCTCCAAGATGAACAACTTTTCCAGCTGCAACCCACTTATCACTTAGTTTATGTGTGCACCTTGGTCTTCCCACCGCAAACACTCCCAGGGTACCGTGTATATTTAGTTCTAGTTTGTGCTTCTTTAATCACTCCCGAGTGTAGCACCCTATACCTTATGGTCTAACAACTGCTGTCATGGACTATCTCATAATCGGTAATAAGACGTGACAACATGTCATTTCGAAATGGCGATGATCCAAAGACGTTAGACTTGAGGTGAAGTTGTAACGTTGCAGCCCTTTACTCTCTTTTGTCACTGTGGCTTAGTGCAGCCATAAAAGTGCCCTATGCCACTAAAAGATTAACAAAGAGAATTGAACCATTTTATAACCTGGCTGAGCTTTAGCATGCTCATCTTTTCATGCGGAAAATATTTTCATATTGTTTAAATTACCTTCTAAAAATATTTGACGTTTTTACTACCTCATTAACTGTAAAGAACTGCTATTGTTCCCCCTCCTCAGCCCACCCCTTTTGATTTTTCTGAAAATAGCATGCATATGCATACGTCCTTTGTCCACACTGAAGCCTGTGTAGGAGCCACTTGTTTGAATGGTGGTGTCTGCAATGAGGGGGAAGGTCATTTTACAGAAGTGACTTAACAGAGCAGTATCCCACATTCATGGCAGGCACGCTGCTCCTGTAGTAAATTTAAATCAATTTATTGCACATCACTGACTTCCGCTATTTTATTTTAAATTCTGTAACCAGATCAAGGTCGAGGAAGCAAAAGATGAAAGGAGAAGGGGAAAGGAAGCCAGAAGAGGGGAGAGGCGGGCAGGAAGGGGGAAGCAGGACAAGGGATGGTTCAGAGAAGGGTAGCAGAATAGAGCTCTCACACTTAGAGACTGGAGGGATGAGCATTACTCATTCAGAGGAACAAAGAAGGAAAATGAGTTAGTCTTCTGGGCATATAAGAACTGGGAGTATTGCTTGCTTAGATTTTTCTCCTTGTTTATAATTATGTCTTGGTACTATTTCTAAATACCAGATATACTGTTGATAGTCCTTGCAAATGTATTATTCTTTTTGTAGCCAGTTGCTGAACAGAAGTACTTCTGGACTTCTGATGTGCCAAGGAATTGCTGCAGCGACTGGGAATTCAGAAGGAAGGGTATCCCAAGGCCATTTTAGAATATGCTGTTACAAGATTTTACTGTAGTGTTTTGGTCTGAGATCAATTAAATATGCTTTTCATTTGATTCATGCTGGAGAACAAACAGTCTGGATCTTCAGATGCCTCTTGAGGTCGATGTGTTTTCTTTCACTGAGGGGAGTGTTTTGCTTGTGCTTAACTTTTTCCTCTGCAGTAGTGTGAAATTTCATTTTAAATCCAAATGGCCCTTATAGTTTCACTCAGATTTTATATATATTGTTAAGTGTTAGTAATCTGTTCTCTCGAATAGATATTTTTCCTCTGTCTGAAAGGGTTTGTGGTATCAAAAGTGAAATCATAGGATCAAGAAGCAGCCAAGTGTAAATGTCTGTAGAACCAGGTAGGCTCTGACAGCTGCCATTTAAGTATGTGTTAAGACTGGTGAGATTTGTGCTAAGTTGTGCCAAACTTGCAGTGCTCTTTGTATCTGTGAAGCTCCACATGAGCAATCTGCAAGCGTGGTATGTTTTTGCATACGTGTAAGGGAGAGGAGAAGGATGATGTGAATAAGCTGGCTGACTCCAGGAAATAATCAGATCCAATTATGTCGGTGATGTTTAACCACCAACTTTACCGAGATGGTATTTCTATATCATGTTAATTGTGTGAGTCAAGTGGAACACAGAAGGCTTCGTGGAAGCTTGGAGGGGGCCTCAAGAAGGTGAAACATGGTGGCTTATGTTTCCTTTACAGTGAAATAATTCAGAAATAATTGGAGCAAACCCAAGAACTGATTTTCCTTGTTCGGAGATGCTCCGCTCTCTGCAAGTAGAGACAGCCTTGGTGGCCACAGGCGTTCCACTGCAGGGGCAGAGGATGTCTGGGCATACTGCACCTAGCTTGGCGCAGCGTCTTTCCCCTGTGTATTGCAGAGGGAGTGAAACGTGCATCAGCTTCATCCTCCTCAAATCAGAGGAGTTTTATTTAGTTTTCAAATACTGCTGCAACCTTAGAACTTCTAGGCAGCGTGGGGTACACAGTTCCTTCTACTCCTTCAGGACCTTGCACAGAAAACATGCATTTGCTCCCATACGTAGGAGGGAACTGGTCCCACGAAGGCAGTTTTGTATTTTTCAGAAGAGAGAAGTTTCCCTCCTTGTATTATTTATCGCATGTATAAAATCAATTTGTGTGTGTTTGATTTAAACTTAAACTTTCCTTTGAGGTTTATAATCCATAGTGTTTTTGAAGGAATTTCCAATAACTTCTCATCCTAGTCCAAAAACTATTTATGAAAAGCAGCTTTAGGCAATCAGTACCTGCACTACAGCAGGAAAGCAGAGCTATTGGCAACTGTTATTTTATGTTTACTAGCTTGAACTCTGTCCTCTGATAATTTGTGCTGTAGTTTCTGTAAAGCTTTTCTGGTATTAAATACCTTCTCTGGGAGATTTGCTTGCTCCTGCACTCTAGTAAGTGGACCCAAGCTAATGTCTTTTCCACTTAAAAGAAACATTCAACAAAGTCTGTCATGTTTAAGAACCGTGAGCAATAGTTTCCTGAGCCCAGAAAATAAAAATACAGGCTTCTTACACAGATGATAGTTTCAAAAATGTTTTCTTTTTAGTATTACAGACATTTTTCTCTAAGCTGTGTTAGGAATTTGTTTTGAGTGGGCAGCAGCAGAAATGTGGAAGGTGATATTAGTGATAGATTGCAAATAATCTGATACGTGTTTTTGAAAATTACGAGTAGGTAATTGCATTTCTGTAGAGTTAGTCCGTTGCAACTGGATCCTAGAAAAACCTGACCCTAGAGAATCCTGCTGATCATACAGAGTCTTATAATTGTGAAGCCGCTTGACTTTTGCTTTCAGAGATGAAAATGACAGTTTTCCTCTTTGTTTTAGGATACCTGTGATCTCTCGTATGTGGAAAGAACGCTGGCAGAAAGGTGAAAAAATGGGTGTTAAAACATTCACTCATAATTCCCCTGCTCACAGTCAGGAGATGCTGGGAAAGCTGAACATGCTCCGCAATGATGGACATTTTTGTGATATCACCATCCGCGTCCAGGACAAAATCTTCAGGGCGCACAAGGTGGTTTTGGCAGCCTGCAGCGACTTCTTCCGTTCCAAACTCGTTGGCCAAGCAGAAGACGAGAGCAAGAGCGTGTTAGACCTGCACCATGTGACAGTGACTGGTTTTATACCTCTTCTTGAATACGCTTACACAGCAACACTATCTATTAATACAGAAAACATTATTGATGTGTTGGCTGCAGCCAGCTACATGCAGATGTTCAGCGTTGCTAGCACGTGCTCCGAATTCATGAAGTCCAGCATTTTATGGAATACGCCCAACAGCCAGCAAGAGAAGGTGCTGGATGCAGGACAGGAGAACAGCGCAAACTGCAATTTTACTTCTCGAGATGGCAGCCTTTCTCCAGTTTCTTCTGAGTGCAGTGTAGTGGAAAGAACCATTCCTGTTTGCCGAGAGTCGCGAAGAAAGCGCAAAAGCTACATAGTTATGTCTCCCGAGAGCCCCCTTAAGTGTAACACACAAACAAGTTCCCCCCAAGTGCTAAATCCTTCGACTTCTTACCCGGAGTCCAGAAATCAGCCCGTGGACTCGTCCTTAGCTTTTCCCTGGACTTTTCCTTTTGGAATTGATCGAAGACTTCAATCTGAGAAGGTGAAGCAGGCAGAGAACTCTAGGACTTTGGAAATGCCTGGGCCCTCCGAGTCCAACAGAAGAATTGCAGATTACGTGACTTGTGAGAGCACAAAAGCCAGTTCTCCACTTGTGATTGAAGAGGACGTGCGCGTCAAAGTGGAAAGGTTAAGCGATGAGGAGGTTCACGAGGAAGTATCGCAGCCTGTTAGCGCATCCCAGAGCTCTCTGAGCGATCAACAGACAGTCCCAGGAAGCGAGCAAGTGCAGGAAGATCTCCTGATCAGCCCACAGTCTTCCTCTATAGGTATGACCATTTCTGGGGTTAGATATATGTACAAATAGGTGCGTGTGCACTTGTGATTTTATTGGAGGAAGTCTGCTTCATGTTTTTTCATGCTTTACTTTTGTGAAACTGCATTTTGTTTCCTGTTTTACGAAATGTTACATAAAAACCCCTGCTGCGGGGACAGGACTTGGAGCTCTGTAAATAACTTTGCAGAAGGCATCTAAAAAAGGTAAGCCCGTTGGTAGACCTCCTTATTCAGAAGAGATTGATAACCTCTTTTTACCTGTGGCTGCTTGACTGGGGAAAATAATTCTGTTTCCAGTATTGTCAAAAGGCATGATCTCAGCTGAGCTGCAACACCAAATCTGAAAGACTTGTGGCTGTAGCCACAGAGGGGTAGAATGGTACTTTGCATCAGACATAAAATCTTGTATAATCATGACAGAGAGCCTTTGTAAGAAGATTTGCAAAATAAGTGGTGGAATACTGTCATCTTAATGCCCCAGACGAAAACAAAACCACACAGTCATAATATTGAGAATCTTTCCATTTCTGTGGGATTTGGTTCTCGAGTTGCTTCTTCAAGTACTGCCAATTGCTGAGAGAAACCTTTTTTCCAATGAAAGACAATTTGAAGCCAGTTTTGGGTTCTTCTAGCAGGCTCTTGTTTATTAATAGCTAATACTTAAAGGTTACTGTAACAATCCCTTTTTTCCTCTTTGCGCAGAATGCATTGACTGGTCTTTAGTAAGTCAGAAGATAGGGGTTTTGCAATATTTCTAGTTTAATTACCAGATTTTTGCCTAAGTCAGCTGTTTTGCTTTCACTTAAGTGGCTTGACCTGTGCTCAGTAGAGTTTGTTTACTGAAAGATTTTTAATAAAGCCTGTTTTGTTTGAAGACCGTAAGAGTGGCAAATGTACTGGTCTGTTTCATTCAAATAATGTATACATGAAAGGCTGCTTCACTTAATTAAATAAATAAACTACAACAAAGTAAATAAACGTAGCCTAGTAGCCTGCATTATTTGTTTTGTTTGGTCAGCGTAACACTGTGCCTTCTCTGAAGAAAGTGAGTGTTAGAACAGTCTGACCATTCCAGGATTGCAATATATAGTCAGCGTTGTTAAGCTATTCAGGTAATAGTCACTAAAAAGAAATGAAAGTATTTTCCATTTATCCCATCCTTCAGGACTTTATGTTGTTGGTTTTGTTTGTCGGTTTGTGTAGCTCATGTGTTGATACTTTAGATCGGTAATGCTTTTTCCAAACGAAAATGTTTTATTTACTGGAGACAAGGCTGTTTACCTTTTCTGAGAAACAGACTTAATATCAGCTTAAATATAAATCTTTAAATGTAGTTTGCCAAAATAGCGCATAGATTAAAAACTAAAAGAAACAATTTGTTTGCTGGGTAGTCTCCAGGAAAAGTGGTCCTTGTTCAAGAAGAGGTTTAGTTCAACTCAGTTTTTAACTCTTTATAGTAGGAACTTCGGAAAGGCCTCACCAGGGCCATGTGACAAAGAGATGCAAATTATTTCATCGACATAATTGTACCATCACAGACAAAACAGAACAAGTAGAAATAATTACTAGAGAAAGTTAAAATAGCATATCAGGAGTTTTATGATTTTTTATGATGAGTTTTATGAAAAAAGGAGGGAGTTTTACCAACTGCAGATATCATACCCAAGCAGCTTAAAAGAACAAACTGGGTGTAAATTCTAGACTACACATGAGTAGCATAGGATCTACGGATGTTTTCAGAGGACATCTCTTGGAGTTAGAAATATCAGAAAAATTGCATGGTCAAAAGTGGCTTGGATGAATTGGGACACGAGAATGTGAGACTAGGACTGAATTGTAGAGAGAGAGGTGCCACTGAATGCTATGAAATCTACTTTTCTAAGAGAGTCTTAGTGTTAAAAATTACTTTGAAACATGCTCGAATAGTAAGGCACCTTACTGAATTCTGTTTTGCTTTAGCCAGTTTCCTGAAATGATTTCTGTTGACAAGCAACTTTGCATATCCGTCTTCAGAAGCTACCTGTTTTGAAGCCACGTGATGTTTTCAGGAAAGTTTTCCATTTTCTATTTCCTATTCTAGGTTTTGTACCACTGAGGGCATGTACCTGACCCTTTGTATGGCATGGGGCAAAGGATCTTAGGCCTTAGTGATTATAATGTTTAAACTTAAATGTCTGTTATTGGGGATATTAGTACAGCATGTTCTTCCTTAAAATGGCTACAGAGAGAAAAAAAATATGCTAGCCCCAAACCTTCAAAGTACAAATCTGTTCTTTGTCCTTGAATATGTTTGAATTAATATTCAGTGGTCTTTGCATAACATTATTAACTATCCTCGTAATAGTTTTTATTCACATTTTGCTATAAAGAGAAACAGTGCTTTTGCTTTTTAGCACAGTTCACATGTACCTAATATACGATAGGGCATGCTTTGTAGCTAGAAAGCACTTTTTACCTCCCAAAGATGTATTTCCTTATGCAATAATATAAGAACAGTAAATGGAGGCAGCAAGATATGTTAAAGTACAGCTTTCTCTTCCCTGAACATATTTTCCTCATATAATTGCATATATTTATCTCAATGTTTTATAGTGCATTTAAAAAAGCATCCCTGCCTCTCTTTCTGATATTGCAAAAAGCTCTTATTCACTCTTTGGGCAATTTCAAGAATTGTTCATTTGCAATTTATTATATTTGGAAGCACTTTATAATACGGAAGGAGACGTGAAGCAGGGCCTTGATAAATAAGTCATTATGGTTACAACAATAGCTAAGTCTGAGAAGATATTTTCATAACTCATTAACACTGTTTCCATTTGAGAAGTGAAGGCATAAAGTTCAACCTAAGAGCAATTGGGCTTATTTTTCAGTAGACTTTTGGTTAAGTATTTCATAAGAAAGAAGGATAAATCAAAATGGGATTAACTTTTGTAACTTTATAGATTGCATAGTTGCTGAATTTCCTGAACAGAGTTTGTCAGCTTGTAACAAAATTAAAAATTTTGATTCTACTAGTGTTATTTTGAAACTGCTAGAGATGCAAATTTCTTCCCATTACTGGCCCCATAACATGAGGTCATGTTAAGACAATCACCTTTCACTTCAGTAAGGTTTTGTAGAGCACACAGTCCTTTATAGGGACAGCCTTTTTTGGAGGCAGTACTCTCATTCTTTTTGACAAAATAAGCACATTTTCTGCTTCTCTTTCCATGTTCTTTCTCTTTGGTTTTCCATTTTGTCTGACACTTGTCATTGTAGACCTAATGATACTTGATTTGCCTAGTGAGCTTTAGAGAAGGGTTCCCAAATTCAGATCGCTCATGTACCGCTCTCTTAGAAAGCAGAATTATTTTTACTGTAGCAGGAAGAGCAGCTCCTAGCGCTGTCCTAAACTTCGCTCGTTCTCAAGATGTAGGTGCAGAGAGAGAAATTTCATTCCCCCATCTGTTCTCATCTTCCATGGATTCTGTGGTAGAGACCCAAAGGCTGCTTGGCTGTTCAGGAAAGTTCAAGTGGTGCTTAATGTTCAGTCTCAACAGAGGGAAAAGGAGGCAAGATGGAATTACTTCTGCACCACTTCCAGGTGACTTTCATGCTAGTAATCATGCATATGTCATGTTTTGGGAACCCCTGTTTTGGAGAGGAATGACAACTCTGATCCTTTTGAAATTTGGTGGAGTTCAGTCATTCATTTTTATCATCTCCCATTGCACCCATCAGAGGAAAAGGAGGAATGCGAGGAGATCCAGTTGGTCTCTGCACTCAGCTTAAAGACGGAACAACACATGGTTTATCTAAATGGTCACACATAACCAAACCAGAGGATTTTTTTTTATCAAGGGGCATGGTTGGTGGGGGGGTACCAGTTCTTAGAATTGTTTTAGTACTGTACTGCCAACTTCCCTCTCTGTTACGGTGACATCAGGCCAAAATAACCTTGCTTAATACGCTTAAACAAGGATTGAACGCCAAACTCCAAGTGGTAATGAGGGAGGCCCGTCTGAGCAACAGCCACATCAGGTGAATGAAGACGTAGTTTTGTTTTAGTGCTGCATTTACCTTAGATTCTGTTTCCAAAACCCACTTGAGCTACATTTGCTTGATTGTTGGTGCACTGAGCAAAGCTCTGGAATGGTTTTGTGTATACGTTTCTCTTACAAACAGATGTTTGGTCTCTTTTGTGTTGCATTTCTGATTTCTCAGAGGGCTCTTCCTGTCTCAGCATCTTATCCGTAAATGAAGGCATTATCAACGCATATATATATATATATATGTGGAAGATTTGGAACACAAAAGCAATGTAGCATAGCAGGATTGAACTCCTCGTTGCTCAAGAAGTCTTGAAAACTGATGAAATTGTCCCTTTAGGTGAAGGTAACATTTCTGCTTTACAGTGTTAGTACTGGATGTGTTTTGAAAACTCTGGCTGTATATAACATAGATTCTTTCCATTTTCTAGGTGTGCCAAATATTTATTGAGTTGTCCATTTACTAGATAATCTGTGCAGAGGAAAAGTTGAGTTGGAACACATTGCTTCTGGGTTTTCTAAATGATTTTCCCGAGACAATTCTAGTATCTTATCATCCAGGAAGCAGTGTCTCTCAGAGATTTGGAAAGCAAGCTTTATGTGTATTTACCTGCCACTCCAACCCTTTTTGAACACTTATTTGCATTAAATTGCCCTTTTTTCTTTGCCTAGGCTCAATAGATGAGGGGGTTACGGAGGGATTACCCACACTCCAAAGTACCTCTGGCACTAACGCTCATGCAGATGATGATGATCGGTATGTACCAATGTAGTGTGCAAACTGTTCTGCAGCAAGTGCTGTGCTGTAATTAACCTACCCAGCCTTAATCCTAGAATGTTTAGTTGTTCGTACATCTACTTCTCTGTGTTGATCAAAGTACAATCGGTGCCTAAAGGATCAGATGCTTTAGGAGAATGTAAGTGATGAAAAGTCAGAACTTGCTTACTTGTTGCTTTTCATTTCCTGTCTATTTCTAGGCAACACTGGTGAAGAAAGGTATTCATGTTTTTGCTTTTTCTTCATGACTGCTCTTTATTAATAAATAAAAAAAAATCTTTACTGTGAAACAGGTGTGGTAGTTGCCTGCATGCTAAAGCTGACGTAAAGCCACAAAAGCAACAAAATGAAAACAAGTACCTAGTCTTGGCTTCACCAGAGTTTGCTATTGCCATAAACCACAGAGCAGGCAGAGCAGCCTTAAATATTTCTCCCAAACTTTCTGCATGTAGCTTCTTACCAAAATGCTGTGTGTCATTTACTGTAAATATTTAGCGGTCTTTTGCTGTGCTGGGATGAGTGGTTTATTAAGGGAATCCCTTATAAGGGAAGGCTGGCAGAGAAGGCCAAACTAAAATGGGTCTGTTTGGTTGAAGATGTATCGTAGTTCTGTTAGAGCGAAGTGACGTACCTGCAAGTGGCATACAAGGGTACACACAACTGGTTTGACTTTTATTTCTTTGCTTTTATGGTGTGTGTCAAGTGTGGCGTACAGCTAGCTATTGCCTTTCTAAGCAAAATTTTTAAAGTATTGACAAGCTGGCTTTTGCATAGTATTTTGTTAGACAGGTGAGTCTGAAGAAGAAGTGTGAACCTTTGGGAGTTGTTCCAGAAACTGTGTCAAGTGAAACTCCCTATAGAGATAACTATCAAGAGCTGCATTTTCATAGCTCGTAAAATCTTTCCTGCCATTTCCATCTAAAACCTGTCCCATTGTAGGATTAAATCTGAAGAGAAAATAACTGCCTAGATAAGATTTTTTGTATGACAGAGAAGATTTTATCTATCTGCTAACAAACCTCAGTATGAAAATAATACCCAGCACTTAGGGTTTGAATTGATAGTAGGAGCACATGTTGCATTAGAACTAATCCAGGCTTTTAAAGCTATAATTCTAAAGTCAAGTGGCATACATCTTTTCAGCAGTGGATTATTTCAGAAATTTCCTATAAAATTGCAGAGCTTCAGCACGAACTGCATAGAAAATTCAAGAGAGATAAAATCCTTTTAACACACTAAAAATTCCCACTAAAATATCTCTTCCATGCAGAGAAAGAAAGAATGTTTGCCTTAGTTTATGCTCAAGTTTGAAAATAATTAGTCTCAGAGTAAACACAAGCATCAGCAAAATGAACTAGAATTTGCACATTGTTTATGTAACAGTAAGGGAACTAACAGTTATGGGAATTTATGAGAACTTTAGACTCCAGAACTAAAATTTTCTACCACATGATTTATTTTATAAATTCAAATGAAAGTGCCAAGACTGTACTTACTCTGTGAATCAGTTAAATGTGTAAAATGGTGCTTTCAAGTCCTAAGAAGTTTTCTTTCACATGCGTGCGTGTATATGCCTGTCAGGATGGGACAGTACGTTCTGATTCGCTGTGACAGCCCTTCAAGCACTGGGCTTTTGAATTCCCATTTCAAGCACAGGATGGGCACATCAGCAAATAAATATGGCCTGTCATTCACTGTCCAGCAATTTGGGCACACAGTTTTGGGTGCATAAAATGAGATAATACAGAATTCTGAATAAAATCAAACATTCAGCTCTAGCTGAATCAAATGAAAACACGACTAATAAATCATGTTGGATGGAGAAAGTTTCCCTCACTTTTTGTTTGGTATTTTCTTGAATGCGCCTTTAGTTTAAGTCCAGGTTGTACATTGCTTTATTAGTAGAGATTCTCAAAATGTCAAAATCAGTTGTGAGTGGACAATGCAAATTTATATTGAAAAATATGTATTTGAGTATGTATTTATTACATTTCTATTCATAAAAAAGAGCAAAAGACTGTTCCATCTAAAGGTCTTTCAATATGACATCCTTATCACTGTGGAAAGAATCATAAATATTTCAAAATCTAGGATATCTTATCTCTTGAGTTTCTGTGTTAAATAATTAATATAATTAATTGATCCTCCTCCATAATCAGTGTTTCATAAACAGCAGGTCACATGGAATTGTTGTCAGCTTAATAGGCACACAGGAATCTGTTAAGTATTAAAACTCCTGTTTCACAGTGAAGGCTGATATATTCTTTCTCTGATATTTGGCATTTGGATTGCAAAACACTTTTCTAGCATAGATCTGTAATTCAGCTGTGGCTGGTTTAACAGTTGGTCTCTGTGTCAGTTTGTGGCTGCATTTAAAAAAGAGTTGCAAAGGCTCAATTATAAAAGATCTCTCTGATCCAATATAACGAGAACCTCCGCTTTTCTGAAATAATTGTTATTTACAACTAGAGAACATTTCTAGGCTCACTGAGCATTCTGGCATTCACATTTGTTAGAGTTTAGTTCTACATGGTTAAATATGTATATAATCTCTTGGTGAAAAGAAGAAGAAATTGCAAGTAGAATACTTTAGCGTTACAGTGAAAACATTTTAAACCTATCTCTTTATCTAGCTGTTACAGAAATTCTCTGAGATGTTAGACAAATCTCAACTGTTAAATGCCACATTTATCACAAATTGCAAGTCATGAAAAATTGAGTATATGTGGCAAAAAAGAGCAGGGGAGAGAAAATATAATTGTGTTTCAAATGTAATTTCTTCGTTGTGCTAAGGTCCGCAGTTATGTCACTAACAGGTATTTCAGCCTGCTTGCAGTGTAAGGATGGAAAAAGACATGCCAGTCACTGGTAGCTGGAGAGCCTCGGGATTCCCATTTTATCTGCTTTAACCAGCCTTTCTCATCATGAAGCTTTTATGTAGGAAAAGAACAAACTTTATTTAAAATTTCTGCTAGGGACATTGTCCCCATAGCACTTCTCCTTTCTGTTTCAATGGCAGAGAAGCTGGCACCAGTCCAGGCTTTGAGGATGAGCTAGCCCGAGAAAGCTGGAAACAAAAGGAGAGCTGTGGCTTCTAATTTCTGCCCTAGTTTGAGTGTCTCCCTAGAACGCTCTAGGAGCACGATGCACTTTTGCCTCTTTGCAGTCCCCTAATGCAGGAATGGGGGAGGAAGGACCTCAAAAACATGTTACCAGGAGATGAAGTTCTCTATAAAGCATGTTAAATGTTGTCACAAAAAACCTAAATGGAATTCTTACTTGAGATGTGTGTATCTATATGTACATCTAAGAGCAGGAGTTCTTGCTGCCCAGCCAGCCATCCCTTTATCACCCCTGCACTGCAGCTGTCACTTCTGTTGGCACATAGCTGTGAAAATTTTAATTGTGAATTCTCCAGTCAGCTGAGCACAAGGAAAACTTTTCTGAAGGGATTTGCCCCTTAGGCAGACTGGATGACATTTGTCAAATACCAGATGAGGGGAAGGTTGTCCATCCTGGGCCCAAATCAGTTTGGCAGCTGGACTGCTATGCCTTACGCTTTTTTGGCAATGTTTTTCTTTTTTTTTAATATTTAGTTTTGGATAACAGACCTGTGTCTGTTAGTCTCTGTTGATGGAGTTTTCATTGGTAAAGTGGAAAGCATATGGTTGTACCAACTCCAGAGACAAAACTAGTGTTTCCGCATCTGAGTAGAGCAAAATCTGTTCTTTATCTAGTGATCTGCTCACAAAGAGGAACAGGAGTGCCAGAGTTTATGACAGAAATTTGCTTAGACAAATCAGAACCTATGTTTAAAAGCACTCTCATTTATTTCAAGTGCATTTGGTGAGCCATCAGTTGGCTTTTTTAGACCCGTAAGTGGCAGTGAACGACATTCTGCCAGGCCCAGGATATGAGCTGGTAACTTCCCTCTTGCAAATATTCCCCTTAGCAAAGATCAACAAGTCTGTCAGCATCTATCTTTTCCACAGCTCTCTAGGACCCTACTGTGTGTAAAAAGAAGAGAAAGACAGTAAAATTTGTTCCTTAGAGCAAATATTATTCCAGTTCCATGTGGGACCAGAAATCCTTACAGGTTTTACAGACTGGTTGATACTAACTCCTGCAGGAAACTCTTTTATCTTGTGTGTATCGAGAGATACCTGGTGCTCTCTCTCTTCAGATAGATTTTACAACTGGAACTTTTGCTACTGAGACTCATCACTGTACTCAGAATTCAGATACCCGGTTCTCACAGTTGTATTGACATCTGTTTCCAGAGTAAAGACAATTAAGATACTGATTTTAAAGAGATGATCCTAGTTCTTGTCCTCCTGTGCTGATCTGGTCTGTGGATTTTTGTATGATGTGTAGGAAAATGTATTTGTGCAAAGTGCACCTTTCATTCCTGTGAACGTTAGAAGTCCACAAATTCAGCCCAACCTTGAAACCAACAATCTGGGCTCGAGATGGAAGCAGACCAGAAAAAGGATTTGTTAAGTTAGGGAGACTTCCTGACTATGTGCAACAGGAGACATCGGTGTACTTTTTCTCAATACATTTCAGACATTACAGTTTAGTAAAACTAAAATTGCCTTGTTCTGGCCATGGAATATTCAGGGTCAGAGCAGTTCCCTGCTGCCAGTGACGTCTGATCTTCCATTAGGCTGTGAGCAAGCTGAAATGTCTATTTCAACAAAAAATATAGACCTTAATGCTCAGGAAAGGGAAACCCCAGGTAAGTACAAACTCCTATTGTTATTATGTTTGTACCAGCAGATTTGTTTTTATTTCACTGTGCCCTTTAGCGAAGCAAGTTCCTTGCCAGAGGATTTGGATTATAACACTGTAGTTCCCTTAAACAGTTTGCAGCTAGAGGCTATGTAGGAGCAATTAGTCAGTTTTAAATAAATTACTTTGAAAGTTAAATTGTTCCTTTATTATAATCTGTGTGCTGTTTTTTAAATACAGCGCTTGAGCTATTCTCATAGAGCCGATTGAATCAGACAAGAAGCAAGTATTGATTAATTAGATCAATATTTTAAACTTAGAAATATGTAATTGTAGATACTAATGTTTGTTCATTGAACTTGGATTGAAATGAAAATGAATTGGCTTTAATTTTGTTTGTAAATATCACTGAAGCTGCAAAATACTCCTTTGCTTTCCAATTTGCTCAGTTCTTTAAATTTTTCCTCAGGGACTATTTGCTGATTGTGGATCATTGATATGCTTGAGAAAGTGCCCATGCCTGGAAAATCAAGTCCAGTTTGCAGCTGGTGCTCAGACCTGTTGCCCAAAAAAACAGAAGTCAGAGGGTATTCTCTGGTTTTGTTCAGGTGTGCACAGTCAGTGACTGTAAGACTTCAGATGCAGGTCAGATGCATCGCTGCAGAGGCAGAGATTTCCAGCATAAATACAGATCTCAACAGTCTTTTTCTTCTTCTCATACAAATGTGTTCAAGGTTCAGATTTCCATGGGCAAGGCTTCTTATTTTTTTCCTCTAGCTTGCTTGTAAATCAGTGAATTTTTTCTTTGTAGTTTGGAGAACGTTCAGTATCCCTACCAACTCTACATTGCTCCTTCTACCAGCAGCACAGAGAGACCCAGCCCAAATGGTCCAGACAGACCTTTTCAGTGTCCAACCTGCGGGGTCCGGTTCACTCGCATTCAGAACTTAAAACAACACATGCTTATCCACTCAGGTAAGAAACGTTACCATTTCCAAGAATTGCTAATTTATAGACTCACAGAGATTTGCTCACTGTGCAGCAAATACAATAATGCAGTTCTTTTTTAATCACCTGCCAAGTGCTTGAGAATCGATTTCAGAAAGACTGGGTAGAGTATGTCTCATTGAATGGTTGTTTTGATACATCAAATCTGACTGATAGCGCTACTCATGGATGATTAGCGTTTGTGTGGACTGAAAAAAATCTGATTGCCTGAAACTCATCAGAATAAGTCATTTTCATGATAAAGATTTGAGATGAAATAAAGTATACTTGGCTTTTTTATTATACTGAAGAAGTGATGTCGATTGAAATTCTTCCTCTTATGTGTTGTAATTGTCTGCTGTGTTTTAGAGGAGACTTGCAGATAATATAGAAAATATTATCTGTCTTATGTCCTTGCATTGAATAATGTTGTATGCCTTTGGATCTCAGAATTTTTGGGGGGATTGCGGTACAACTGAATTGGTTTGATAATCAATTTAGCTACTACAGATAGTACAGGTAGCAAAAGGTTTGTGTGTATGCCTCCTCTGAGTCTTGATCCCTGAAGTGTTGCATTCATTTTGATTTCTAACCTAAGTATGAACTTCTAAGGTCTTTGCTATCAGTGTTTTTCAAGACTTGTCAGCATTATCTGGCAATAGCATGGACATTTTAGTGCATGAAGGGAATATTAAAGGGTTATTGCACTTGAGCACTAAGCCTCATGGTTTAGCGTCTCCTGGTTTGATCTTGACTCTCACCTGCACACAGATGCTGTACCATTTTTGGGCAGAGCAAGCACAATTGTCAAGGTGTAATTTTTTCACTGTCAGCAATTATTTGTCAAATCCCTTCAAGGAAAATGACCATACTGTGTTTAGACCAGCAGTAATAGTATGTGTTTAGTACTTAAAAAAGCAAACTTTGTGGGCATATCAGGTGCGAAATTATCCCAAGCCGGTTGCTAAAGTCTTAACTGATAGCAGACAGACAGGCTTCAGCAAAGCATCTCTGGCTGACCTGTCAACTGGCAACCCCTGGGCAAAGTTGGGAGAGATTTGAATAGCTGTTTTAAAGTAATTAGCATGCAAAAGAAACTCTCAAAACTTGTAGATGTTGAAAGTGTTTTCACATAAGCAAAATGGCTGAAGAGATTTTCCTCAAACTATCAGAGGAAATAGATGCCCTTGGACAGTATGAAAGCATGAAAAGTTTTAGCTCCACAAGACAATATTCTAGTATATTAACTTGTTTTCACATGCTTAACAAGGAGTTTCAGTGTAACCTTAACTACAGCTTTCTCCGTGTAAAAGCCCCAATTAAAAGTTTAGCTCCCGCTTTGAACGTAAGGAAAGCAGAGTGAAAGACTGGTGGAATTAACAGCCTGGACTGATGCACATTCAGCCTTTTGAAAAAACCTTTTTTATTCCTTGACAGCCCTATTATGAATAGAGCTCCATATTCCAGATTCTTGGCCTCATGTTTGGATTTCCACACTTTCTGGAGTTCAGACTTTTTATTAAACCTTAACTTTTTGGTGATTCAGTCTTTTATGTTATAATAGTTCTGTTTGGGTGTGATTACGTACTCTCAGCCACTGCAACAAGTTGCAGAGCTCATATTTTTCAGGGTTTTATTAGTGCCTGTAATAAATGAAAAATGAACTAGTAACAGAATTTCTAAATTAATATGAGAAAAAAAAAGAGAGGTATGAACCTAAACTGTCTTAGAGAGCTGTCTGTCATGCAAAGTTGCTGAAGATTCTTGTATAGAAAGGTTCCCACACAATATACAGGCTGCTACTTCACCCTTTTATCACCAT